CCTATTCTGATATAGTAGTTTCCATGTTCTTCTCCTGTTTCCTTAGACTAACCGTTAGTATAGGGATAGCCCTTTCTATTTACATCAAGAAACATGCGCTTTCGTAATATGTTCCTATGCCTACCTAGTAAAGCCTTGACGCCAAGGACGAGGTCGCAGAGGAGGGCGCACGACCCGCCGGGCGCAGGGTGAAGGGCCGTGGCGGCGAGGTGAGAGGGATCCGCTTACCAGCCTTTGGTTAGCTGGGAATGAGGGGATGGAAAAGAAAATGATAACGATTATAATGGGTTATATAGAGAATATATGGTAATATTTTGGGGATCCATTCATGGAAAAAAAGATGGAAACTATTAGAATGGGTTACATAGGGAATATTGTGGGGATCCATTCCTTCATTCCTAGCCAACCAAAAGCTCGGCTTTGGCATTTCCTGGGCTGCTTCGGACGAACTTAAATTAAGTTACCATAATAAGGGAGCCCTATCACTTACTACATACCCATATTCTGGTAGCTTAACTTAGGTTCCTCAACAGCAACCCTAAACCCTAAACCTTAAATCCTAAATAGGAGTTTCAGTTTACGAGTTCCCAAAAACTGTTTAAGGTTTAGGGCTGTCGAGCTCTTCCGGGCTTCGACGCATGCAAGGCTATTGCAGAAGGGCTCCAGGGGTCCCGTTTTGGGGGGTTTAGGGTTTAGTATTTAGGATTTAGGGTTTAGGGGTATAGTCCCCCTTAAGTAGATAGAATATAGCTTTGGGTATATTCTAATAAGATCCCCATGTACTATTATCCACCTTCGGGGACTATACTATTTGTAAGCGGCTTGTTCTAGTATATTGGGGTTTATGTTCGGCTGCCGATTGATGGGAAGGGCTTCAGGATTTCACCTGTAGATTAGGTTTGGGCCGCGGCCACTGCATGGTAGTGGCAGTTTTTTCAGGTCGTAGATATCCCACCCTCAACACTAAACCCTGAGGCTAGGGTTAGTGTTGAGAATCCTGGGCCAATTCACAGGTTCCAGAATTTGGCATGAGCACCTCAGG